AATTGTTCGCGTTTGACATAACCTGTCGCAACTTATGTAAAGACTTTATAAAATACCACCGCTTTCATTACAATCAGCCGAAGAAAAACATCATTGAATATATACATATTAATAAGTCTTCCAGTGTTTCACTCTACAAAATAGAATGTTATAGAAAATATAAGCCAAATGTTGGTTCATTAGAAATGAGAACAGTGAAGGCTATGTGGATTGTCATAAAAAATGACATGAATATTAATTTTGCCACTACATTTACTAAAAAAGGCAATATACGCAATAAACTTGTAACAGCACTCATTTTAAAGCTTATGTTGAGCACTATAAAACCCAATTTCACCGAAATGCATAAAATGCAAAACCTCGACACTAGATGGCTTTAAATACAACAATTAAATCTTGAACGAAATAAAAAACGACTTTGCTCTTTCAAATCTTGCTTAATATTTTTCCTAGAACACTTTATGTAATACCGATATATTAAGATTTTTATTGACATTATTTTGTTCATTACATCATTTCCGTTAAAATGTATATTTTAGGAGATATTTGCAAAAAAACGAAGAAAAACTCCAAAAATATATGAATCTTTAGTGGCCAGTAACTTGAAAAGTATTAGTTTTTTTGAAAAACTATAAAAGACATTTTTTTCTTATAATTAGTTCTTCTATCGATTTACGACGTTATTTTGAAAAAATGAAATTACACAATTGTGAAGGGGTGCCATCCCCCCGGGGGGGGGGGGGTGATGGCGCAACCCGAATTGTTTTCACTTTTCAACTGGAGAGTAAGATGAACCTAATTCCAAAATTTCATTCAATTCGGAGCACAGTAAAAAAATTCAGACCTAAAACGCTCCGTTTACTGCACTAGTAGTAACTTCTTTCTTTGTAGTAGTTCTTATAAGATTTAAATTATATTAATATTTAAATAATAATATCATTAAATATTTTTTTAATATTCACTGAAGTCGGGAACCTAAAAATATATTTTTCTTATAATATGGCACCAAGAAAAGTTAAGTGTTGGACTTATTTCAAAGAGACAATTTCGAAGGCGAGTTAATTTTTGATTTTTCTTATGGCAGATTGCGAGCTCCAGGTAGTTGGAGAAGTTTTAAATAAAATTCAAGTAGAGATTGAAGCAGAGTGTAAGACGGTGGCTTTGCTGCCGTATGATAGTAATATATTTGAGTTATTTAACAATTTACTCAAAAATACTGAGGGCGTTAGCCTTAAAATTTATCTTGATAATGTAATGTAGCATTTATATAATATTATGTAAATACATTTGTAAATATAATTAGCTGTAAGTTGTTATAATATTATTACTTTAGTCCCAGGACGATGCCGCAAGTTGAAGCGGCTCAGTCCGCGGAAGACGGGGCGGTAAAACACAGCGCGGCAGGAAGCCACCGCAAAGTAATTTCCTCCCTTCTGCAGGCAGCAGCAGCTTTCATGGCAACAGAGGCCGCCGCGGTGGTCGTGCTCGAGAAGTAAGCTAATCTCAACAGAATCAGAAAGCTACAGCTATTCAAGCATTCGTGCGATAATTCAAGGTTGCAATAATACAAATTTGATTGATTATATTAATAAGTGCTATATGTTTTTAAATGATAATAGTTCTAAACTTTTTACAGAAAACATAACATTACATTTATGTTGGAGTCATTTCACAAAGAGACTATCATATCATGCAAAAACATTTGCAAATGGTAATCAGGAAATAATATCTGTAAGCGGTAAGATAATGACAGAAAACATTTGTATTCAAATGCTGCCGTCGAATTATTTTTCAATATATTAAAGAACAATATCTAGCATGGTAATAAATATATGAAACCGTCATATTCCATAGATACAATTAAATTTGTTGACGCTTTACAATAATAATTTAATAAATAAATGCTCTGTAACACAGAAAAATTAATCGTGAGAAAAGCAACAAAAGTTATATTAGAAAAAGAAGAAGAAATGCAAGTCAGGAGAAGTTAAGCATGGATTGTTTTCCATTTCCATTCCATTAAAAAAATGAAATAAGCAACACAGTAGATAAAGTAACTTGTAACATTACCAATTATCGATAGTAGTATTAATCATCTAATAATATCTGATAAACTTGTAAATAATCTCATGAATCCATAATCATAGAAATTACAATTTTCGCATACTACGATTGCAATATAGTTGTGAGTAATGCTTACGTACATACAAACATACAAAATACACATAGATGAAGACGTGACGTGTCCAGATAGAGATAGAACCAGTACGCAGATAAGGACGCGTCATGCGAGAAAAGGTACGCAACACACACTTCAAGTCAAACTTCTTTTACCCTACGCGCTAGAGTCGAAGATGCAAATTATTTAACAAGATATAGTTTCGTGGGAGTGAGCGAGATAGAACGACTGCCGCCCTGGAGAAGAGGGAAGAAGTTAGAATAAGACGGCACTACGGTGTAAGAAGATACACCGACTTTCGGAGAATTTTGCAAAAGTAATCCTTAGTATAAATTGGCCTGCAAAAGCAAAAAAGTTGTAATTGATAGCTAACTTAAAAGCCTCAAGTACCATTAACTGTTCGACGCGACTCACGCACAACAGTTCTAGGAGTTTTATACTGTTCGACGCGATTTACGCACAACAGTCCCAAGAAGATTAAAACTGTTCGACGCGACTCACGCACAACAGTTCCAGGATATCTACAACGGTTGTCGCGCTTAACGCACGACAAGCCAGAAGAGGATTAAAACTGTTCGACGCGATTCAAGCACAACAGTTCGACGGTTTGGACGAGATTCAGATCTTCCCGCTACTACTAGAGGCCGAAGCAAACAGATTAGTCTGCAAATATTAGTGTGCAAATATTTAACCTATTCTTGAACCCTGTAATTAATAAATATAAGAAACAGTTGCATTACTGCTTTTGTTTAAATTATATTTTCACCGACCAAACATCGTGAGGTCACAATTGGCGCCCAATTTTGTGGCAAGAAAAGGATTGGATCAAAGTATACAGCACAAATCTGGCAGCCAGCAGGAAACTGATCATCAACCTCAGAAAGAAGCTCAGGTAGTTTCGCAAACTGCAAGGCAAGCTTCGATGGAACGCCGAATGCAGAGAAAGTAGCTGAATTTACTACAGTGATAGCACTCTACAAGGAACTGGAGAACATTAGTAAAGAAAAAGCGCTCATGGGACTCCCGCTACTACTAAAAGATGTCGCAGCCACCTGGTGGCAAGGTATAAAAAGCGAGGTAAGCACGTTTACAGAAGCAATAGCGCTAATAAAATCCTCATTTGCACCTCAGAGACCAGCCTACGCAATCTATTTAGAGATTTTAAACTTACGACACGACCGTAGCACGCCGACAGATTTATTCGTATGTAAGAAGAGAGCTGTATTTGCCGAGATTCCTCCGCCTGGAATCCCAATAAGCAGCCAATTGGACATGATATATGGACTGCTACGATTAAATATTCGTGAGCGTATTCCGCGAAAAACGGTTCATCGTTCGAAGAACTTCTAGCGAGAGCACAAGAGATCGAAGCCAACTTAAACGAGAACAAGAAATGTGTCCCCAAAGAGGAAACGCAGAAAGTTTGCACGTTCTGCAAACGAACCGGACACATTGAAGAAAAGTCCGGACAGGACTAAAACCAGGACACAGGCTGCTTCTATACAAGAAGATAAAGCAAACTACTCATGCTATGGTTGCGGTAAGCCAGGCGTGATCCGCAGTAATGCCCAAATTGCACAACGAGCCCTTGCGAGAAAGCGGGGATACAAGCGGCAAGTTTCTTCTTTGTGACTTTAGAAGACGGGGGCAAGAAAGAAAACAGAGTGGGCTGTACATTCTGTAAACAAAGGAGCCATACGACAGAGGAATGTCGACACCTCAAAGCCCGACAAAACAGAAGAAACGCAAACCCTCCAGTAAATTTACAAGCTCCGGTAAATATTCCGAGAGCACATGCTAGACCCGCTGTACCCATCACGGTGCAAGACGAAAAGGGATACGGTTTCGTGGACACTGGCGCCGACCATAGCCTCGTAGGTTATTATTTGTATGAGGTTTTAAGAAAAACTGGCCATGAGTTTCAACCGCGAAACATAAAGATGACCATGCCAGACGGAAAAGCAAGACCAAGGGATGTGGTAGTAACGACCACCATAGTGCACATAATGGGAAGACCGCGGTGCAAAGCATGTTGAACGCGGACAATACGAGCATAATGGGGACACGCGACGAGATGTTATATGACATGATGAGAGCGTTACTAAAGCCGGCCACAGACGTAACTGTATACTTGCGCAACCTGCGACTTGCGCAACCAGGCATTCACACATGTAGAGGATGGAGAAACATCAAAGTGGGAACGCACGAAGAAACGAGTCCAACTGAAGTCAGAAGAGGCCATTGTATACTATCATTCTAAGAGAAAACTATGCCAGAATTTGAACCTTAGTTTCCGGGAGACTAAACATGAAATAGTTCTCGGACTACGAAATAAGCATTAGTGTTACTTAGAGGCAGGTGAAAGTCACAGCAATGGCATACAACTAAGTGCAAGCATACTAAAGTATGAGAAGTTAGTAGCAGACAGGTAAGCAAGTGAAAGTAGTGGGACGCAAACCAGAGAGTGCCCAGAGCCACTACGAAAACCAACCACGGTAGGAGAATAGCACAGTTTTAAGAGAGAAGAAGTACTCTGGGGAGAAGGAATTGAGGTGTTACAGATGTAAAGAGAAGGGACATCGTGCTCGTGCCTATTTGTCCGCTAGCCAATGGCCGCTGACGTAGTACTACGTCATTGTTTGTCCGCTATACAATAGCCGCCGACGTAGTAATACGTCACTCGTATTCCAGTTGCTGTAGCCGGTGACGTAGTAGTACGTTCTTTTACTGAGTAACAGTGCTTGTGCGGTCATCAAAGAGTCAATTTTGAAGTTTTTAATTAATTATATATTGAAATATTGACCATTGAACGAGATTTATAATGGAACAACATGCTGTTGAGTATAATAATAATATTTGCAATGATAATAGTGAAGTATATGCAGATATATTATCTGGGGATGAAAATAATATAACTGAAAGTGATGAGTCAGACATTATTATTAGTGGAAAAGTTTTACCTATTGAAAGTAATTCGGAGAAGAGCGATTCCGATGACGTATTTAACAATGTTACATTTACACTATGGTCCGAAAGTGATATTGATATGGACATAAATGAGTTTTTAGGTAATGATGGTATTAAAGTTTTTCCGAAGGATTCGGAAATTATAGGAGATACTGTAAATTTGTTTATTGGCAATGATTTTTTTGAATTACTTGTAAAGGAAACGAACAGGTACCACTTGCAAAATATGAATAAATATAAATCTACAAAAATGATAAAACAATAGGAAGATACCACAATAGACGAAATGAAGATATTTCTTGCTTTAAATACTTTAATGGGACAGGTGAATAAAAGCAACTTGAACGATTATTGGCCTACGGGTTCACTTATAGAGACACCAGTTTTCGGGAAAGTTATGCCTCGAAATAGATTTAGGCAAATTTTACAATTATTACATTTTTGTAATAATGATGTAATATTAGAAATTACAGATAGACAAGTCAAAATCAAATCTATAATAAAATATTAATCAAATAAATTTAATACAATTTATAAACCAAAGCAAACTCTTTCATTGGATGAGGCAATTATACCCCATAGAGGTCGTTTGAGTTTCCGAGTGTACAACCCCGGCAAAAAATCGAAGTACGGGATGCTTGTCAGGTTGTTGTGTGAATCTGAAAGTGCTTATATCACAAATTTTAAATTGTATAACGGAAATGGGCAGAAATTACAAAACCTTGTAGAAGATGTTTTAGAGAACTATGCAAATATTTGGCACCATGTTTATATGGACAATTATTATAGCAGTGTGGAACTGGCGGCAAATTTACTAGAGAAAAAAATTAGGGTATGTGGTACTAGAAGAAAAAATCGTGGGTTGCCACGATTTGTAATATACTTTTAATACTTAATACATTTTTAATACTTATATACTTGCTATGAAATGTTTCTGACATATATTTTTATCAATTTTTTATTTAATGATAACTATATACAATATAAAAACATTGCAAAAATCAAAAAAGGTAATAAATTCAAATTAAATACTTTTTATTGCCTACGTAAATAGATGAAAAATATTGAAATCTTAAGTTTTTCATTCATTGAAATATATTAGTCAGAAGCTTATATGCCGAATTAAAATAATCAATAATAATAATTATTATTTTATTCGGCGCGTTGGATTTTTAATTATTATGACTAATGAATATACTTATATACAAATATAAATAAATTTTGGATTTAATAAATATTTCCATACTTATATACCAGAATTTGTCGAGATGCGCGTAACGACGAGCCTTATGCTTGCTCGTCGCTCTGGCAAAGCTACTTTACATGTGTGTTCTTGTACCGGCAGCGCGCGTACTGGCTTAAGTTTTTCCAACTTTTCACCCAAAGTTCCGCTTAAATTTAAATGAATTTTTGAATAACAGAAGAAATATGTACAGGCTTTCGAATGATGCTAATATAAAAGTAGTCCAAAGAGCCGCACTGGTAGAAAATGGAATGTGTTGTGCCAGTTGTATTGTTTAATGCTCTGAACAGTGATGATTCAAATTGTCTTCCTTGATCGGTAGTAATTTTTGTCGGTACTCCAAACCTAGAGATCCAGCACGATAATAAGCCTTGAGCTACTTCTTCTGCCACTGAAGTGAACCGATCAATAACGGTTAAACAATATTTATATGAGTTGACTGATGGAAGTAGTCCAATAATGTCAATGTGTATATGTGTGAATCTTCCTGTCGGTAATGGGATTGATCCATGAGGCGAGTGTAAGTGACGGGATATCTTAGCACGTTGACATTGTTGACAGCTACGCGCCCGAGTGCGGCAATCTTTTTGAATAGACGGCCAAACATAACGGGAACTAACCAACTTCGCCGTTGCTCTGATACCTGGATGACTCAACTGATGTAAAAGTTCGAAAACTCGTTGCCGTAGTGGACCAGGTACGTATGGGCGCTGAGTCGATCTTGTCATGTCGCAGTAAATTTTGATCTTGGAACCGGGGTTAGGTACTTGTTGAAGGCGAAGTGCGCTATTGCCAGCGATTAGTTGTTTTAGTTCTGGATCGTCACGCTGATATTCTGCAATGATCTCGTGGTTGATTTCTTCTGATGTTGATACCTGATTGATACGAGACAATGTGTCGGCAGTGATGTTTTCGTGACCTGGAATATGCCTAAAATCTGTCGTAAATTGAGAAATAAAATTTAGTTGATTTAATTGGACCGGTGGGAGCTTCTCGCGACGCTGTTGAAATGCAAATGTTAACGGTTTATGGTCGGTAAATATTGTGCAGTGGTGGGCTTCCAAAAATTGTCTAAAATGTTGTACAGCCAAATAGACTGCTAATAACTCTCGGTAATAAGCTGGCCATGAGCTCTGTCGCGAATTCATTTTGCGTGAGAAAAATGCTAGTGGTTGCCACTTGTTGTTCACCAGTTGTTGAAGGCAGGCTCCTACAGCTGTTTGAGAGGCATCTGTAAAAAGTCCCAATAAAGCGCCGTGAATTGGGTGATGTAGCAATGTAATTTTACTCAAACTTTCTTTGCAGCATTGAAATGCCTGGTCTAGCTCCGGAGTCCACGTGATTGTTTGATTGCCTCTTATACCTGCTAACGCATCGTGGAGTGCTGTTTGAGGTGATGCTGCATTCGGAATGAAACGACGATAAAAATTCTTCATTCCTAAAAATCGTCGAAGTGATTTTGCGTTGTCTGGGCGAGGAAAATTCTTTAGATCTTCTATACGTCCAGATGGTGGTTTGGTGCCTTCTGCGGAAATTTTATAACCTAGAAAATAGACTTGCGGAGCACAAAAAGTGCTTTTTGATTCATTAATTAATATTCCATTACTAGCTAGACGTTCAAATATTACACGTAAATGCTTGCGATGTTCTTGTTCATTGTTTGAAAAAACTAAAATGTCGTCAATATAAGCGAAACAAAAATCTAATCCGTTCAATAGCTCGTCAATGAAACGTTGAAAAGTTTGTCCGGCGTTCCTCAAACCGAAGGACATGAATGGAAATTCGTATAAACCAAATGGTGTAGATATTGCTGTTTTTGGAATATCTCGTTCTTCGACCGGTATTTGCGTATACGCTTTGACCAAGTCTATCACTGAAAAGATTGTGCATTCTTGTAGATTGGTGGAGAAGTCGTGGATGTGACGAATTGGATACTTGTCTGGTACAGTTCGTGCGTTGAGTGCACGGTAGTCGCCACAAAGTCGCCATCTTCCATCCTTCTTTTCTACAAGGTGTAAGGGCGAAGAACATGAGCTCTTTAAACGCCGGGCTGTTCCTTCGTGAAGCATTACTTCAAATTCGGCCTTTGAGATCTTGTAACGATCAGGCGCAAGACGTCGTGGACGGCAGGACACTGGTGGGCCTGGTGTTGTAATTATTGAATGTGTTGTTTTGTGCTTTATTTTGCGTGGTGTTCCAGACGGTTTAATTAAATTTGGAAACCCTGCCAATATGTTATGTATTACTGATCTTTTATTTTTAAGAGTTTTTATACTTTGTCGGGATGTCTTAAGAGTCACTCCAATTGAACACAAACCTGTGGTTCCGTCCACGATCCTTTTGTTTCGGCAATCTGGCAATAGTCCGAAGAAAGCTAAGATGTCGGAGCCTATGATTGGTAAATCCACGTCTGCTACAATAAATTGCCAGCTGAATTCTCTTCTTAGCCCGAGGTTAAGGCGTAGGTGTTTTTGACCGTATGTTTTAATCCGTGTACCATTGGCTGCTTGCAACTCGTAATTTGTCTTTGATACACCTGCGGATGGCCCTCCGAGGATAGCAGGAGACATCTGAACCTGTATCTATTAGAAATTTAATATTATTATTTTTGTCAAAAACAAATAGCCGACGCCTTTACTGATCTTTTTCCTCGTTTTTTGTATTTGATGTTTTACGGTACATATTCCAGGAGCAAGGTGCCTGACATTTTCTTGCTCTTCTGCCGAATTGATTATGGTACCAACATTTTGTGTATTCCACCCGTTCTCTACTTTTTAATCTTGATCTACCTTTTTGATTTAAGTATCGTATTTGTTTCTGTAAGTCGCGTACTTGCTTGGTTAATTCTTCCAATTGATCACTTTGGCGTTGCTCAGCAGGTTTATTATAGTGCAATTGCTTGGTTGAATCAACGTGGTGGATTAACGGCTGTACCTCTAACATTTTATCTGCGGTGGCTGCTAATTTATCTAGAGGCAGATCGCTTTGTGTTTGCAGTATGGCGCGTATGTACGCAGGAAGCCATTGCATCCATAGTGATCTGAACATGCTTTCACCGATTGTTGTGTGGCCAGCAAGAGAACGTAAATGTCGAAGAAACTGCGATCGACGGCGATCTCCTAACTCTTCTTCAGAGAGGATTTGTTTGATTCTTGTTTCTTCCGAAGCACATAGTTCCACTTCGCGAGCCTGTTTCTCCTCGAGGTTCCTGATTACATATCAGAATCTTGTGTTCTCATTGGTTATTGTTGCGATGTCAAACTGTGCTTCAATTTGTGAAAACCAGAAATCTGAGCTGTTCTCCCAAAATGGTGGAATTGTCACCGATACTCGATTCACTATGTCGAGTTGAGATATTTGCTTTGAAGGAGACTCTTGTAAACACTTCGAAGAAGTACCTTCTGAATCCATGCTTGAAGTTCCTTTTATTTTTCTGCGATTATCCACTCGTCGAGGTCACCAATTTTGTGGGTATTTCCACTATATATTTCTTCTAATTCAGCGCTTGTTCGCTCGTCATACTGTCACCAACCACCATTTCTCCCTTTATAAAACCATTGATAACTATCAGGAGCTGGTTTTGGCTCCTCATAATTTTCCACAAGATAAGGATGCTCCAAAAAATTAATGGGTATGCCTGCTCGACATAAAGCGCACCTATTACTTTGAAATGCTACTCCCTTAATACAAAGAAAGCAAAATATGTGTCCACAAGGCAAGCGGGCTGGGTGAATACAAGTTTGTAAGCAAACCGGGTATTCTAGAACTCCTTTGTTTTCTGGCACTGTGCTGTCATCAGAATCGTCCAAACAAATCACTTCAGGAGAATTACCTTGAGCTATGATATTCAAAACTAGCGTGTATAAGGGAATTGCAGGGATTGCAAAGAATTAGATAGTAGATAGTTGATAGTAGATAGTTTAGTTCAAAAAAATGCCTTTAAGTATCCCAGAGTAGGGATTTTTAAATCCAAACATTTTCAAAAAAAATCAAAAATGTTATAATTTTTTCTCGTAACTAAAAATACACGTTATGTTTGGTGAGGGAGGGTAGTTTTAAATATCACCTCGTGTCACTAAATTAATCACGTGATTAATGGTCGCAGCCTAAGAAAATAACTATAATAACATATTTATTTTGTACATTTCTATAATAATGTGCGCCATCTGGTCGCCACATAAATTTATATATATATATATATATATATATATATATATATATATATATATATATAGAATAGATTTGAATTTATTATATCGGTTATTACCGGGCCCGCCTGTAGTGTGCAAATTCAATTACAGATACAATGGAATAAAAAAAAATCGCAAATTCTATCCAAAAATTTAGAAGCGTGGGTGAAATCCCGCGCAGTGAGATATTAATTAATTTAACGGATTTGGAGAAGAAATCCAATTAGGAGAAGAGAATTGTGTAAGAAATTTATTTTAATCCACCTTTTTATTCTTTAGGACATGTGCATAATTAAAAAAATATTATATTCATAGTTCCGATGATGCATCCAAGAAGCCGACCAAACTAGGAGAGGTCTTTTGAACCAAATCCTTTCTCAATCATACCGTTGGGCTGTGTGCCGTGTCTGTCGCAGATTATGGTATATATTTCTTCTATTCAAAGGTAGATCAAGATTAAAAAGTAGAGAACGGGTGGAATACACATAGCATATACATACATACTTATACATACATATATATAAATAAATAAATAAATATATATATATATATATATATATATATATATATATATTAGGTTGGGCCGAATCATTATTGTAGTAAAATTAAGCGATATGGGCACCTTTTCATATGGAATATATGTGTTATTAAAATGAATTTTGACTTCAAAACCATATATCGCAAATAACTCTT